ATGAATGATGCTTGATTGGCGCTTATTGTTTTGATAAAAGAAATGAAACTCACTTTCTTTTCTTCATCCTGCTCGTGGTACCGTTTGATGAGGGCACTGAAGATGTCGTTGATGATGCCGATCACTTGGTCGACCTCCATCTGCTCAACACTGGTCTTCCCGTGGAATCCTTTGAATAAGAGCATATTGTTTGAGGCCTCAGTTCAGAACGTCTCAGATATATGACGGCTGTCTTTAATTAATCTGGTTAATGCAAAGAGAATGGGCTTTGAAGACAAAGGGCAGACAGAATGGGCAATGAAGACCATCTTCATCTCCTCAAGGCTGGTCTCCCCGTGGAATCCTTTGAATGACGACATAGTGTTTGACGTCTCAGTTCAGAACGTCTCAGCTATATGACGGCTGTCTTCAAATTGTCTAGTTTGTGCCAGACCACAAAAATGATATCATTGTCATCAACTCACAATGGATTCCAATAATTATACATCCTAGTTGTATATAAAAAGAACCCTTTTCTTTCGCTTGTAACGCAATACTGGCTATGTGGAATTTCTAGTGTAATCCCACTGTGATTTTGCTGGTATATTGCTAAAAGCAGCGTAAATCCGAATATATTCACTCACATTCACCATCTGACGGTGGTGAGTAAATGAAAGAGTCTGGACCACACAATCCAGTGATTGACATCATGAGCATCGATCTACGGCATAGGGATTCGATTATTTGCATCAACTAAGTATTTATATTTATTTTTCGTCAGTTTGCTCTCTTGCTGGCTGACGTTAGAGATGTGAAATGTTTAACAAATACTGGTGGCATAAGATAAATGGATACTCAGCTTACCAAACTCCCTCGCTAGGAAACCTGCAATGGCCATACTCTGTGCATACTGTTTGCCATCCACCTCAAGCACAGGGATCTGTCCGAATAGAAGATCTGAAGAGAAACGAACCACGATTAACCACTAAACTTACTCGTGCGTTAGTTTGAGATTCAAATGACAGCATTATGAAGGTCATCAAAGAAGGAAATGGTTCATTTGGCAGCAAAAAACTACATCCTTGATGCTAACACACCTCTTTGTTTGTGACAGTTTCAAACGAATTATCTCGAAGGACAATATCGAATCATCACGTAATGCATGAACTCTTTCTTTGAACTGCCCAAATGATGGTTGTGATGTAAGATAGTGTTGGAGATAACAGTTGTGTTTATTTGGGGGGTTTTAAATACAGAATCAAATCTGGGATGTTCTGAGTTCATGTACAGTGAACCTCATTTAGGATTTAAATACTTTTTATCGATAAACGAAACATTGATGAATTAGAATCTGTTTGAGAATCTATTTGACGCACAATATACTAATGTCTGGAAATAAGATTTTCCGAACTTAAGATGTTTCAGATGTTGTGAAAATATTTGATTATACGAACCAGTGATAAATGTATTTGAATATATACATGTATTGACGTTCAAACCATGAATATCCCCTACGCAGAGTGTCCGGATTAAGGAGGTTTCATTGTAAAGTGTCACACGGGGATGTGTTTAGCAGATCAAGTTGTTCGCTGATATCTCCATCTTGTTCTGTTATCAGTGCACCGGCTACATGTACGTACTACTTGACACTGTTTAACCATGCAAGGTAGTGTTATCATACAAGCACTCGCCTAGAGCTGGGCCGCCTTAGGAGCTGAAGAGTTACTCTCCTTTAGGGCGTCAGAATCATGTGATCGTTTCTTGTCAATCCTAATTTTGCGCGCCTTGTCATATTAATATCCGTGTTGACCAAAGTGGTAAAGACCTGCATCACTTTGGGTGTTTTTCCAATATCAAGTCATGTCCCGCAATCACTCACTCACTCACTCGTAGCCAAAGACCATTTCTGGTGTTCCCCGCCGTGATAGTGCTTGAGAATTGCTAAAAGCGGCGTTAAACCATACTCACTCACTCAAACCAAGAACTGTCCTACATATTATTCTAGGTTTGATGGCTACATGCAGTATTCGAACGTTTCACTACTTGCTTTCATTCAATATTTTGCGGACATGTAATTATTTTCAGAAGGTTATATAATGAGTGCTTAAATAGCGGTATTCACTTTTGAATTCCTCACGACAGGCCTTAAAACTAACTTTGATGAAAAAAACAAACAAAACAACATAGATAGGCTCAAAAACAGATAGCAATGACTGATCACGTCAAATGTACAATTATAAAAAGCAACTGTTCGTTTCGAGATTATACTTAATCGGAACTCAAGTGATTTCTGGATAATTAGACCTTTGTTATTCCATTGTTTGGAAAGCTGCCTGTGCCTTTAAACAGTTTTACTTCCCAACGCGTCTGGTGTTCCCATGCAACACTTACTTCGTTTCTCGGCCTGGAAGTTCTCCCGTGACCATCTGACGTCTTCATACTCCTGTCCGGCCAAGGCAAACAACAGACGGCACACTTCAGCCCGCCCTTTATTTTCCGTGTAGATGAGCTTGTAAGAAGGCATGTTGCTTGCTCCCTGTGCAGTGAGTACTCCCACTCTGTGTATCTTATGAAGGTGTGCGATAAGGCTTATCAGACTCGCGTGTATGAATATATTTACTAATACGTGGTTGTGTATATAATATGTGCCCACCCACCCGCCCATCCGTCAAGGTAAATATGGATCAGGTGAAACTTATATCAGTGGTTCCTAAACAGCAAAACTGTATTCAGGTTGATTTTGGTCACTGGGCCTCCCATATACAAATGTAATACGTCACTGGACCTACCGTGTACTATGTCACTGGACCCATCTTAAGATTCATGATGAAAGTGAAAAATCAGTTGAAGTTGATTTGTGATTCAAAATGTAATACAGTATAATAATTTATGAATATCGAATATGTTACAATGTATTAAAACCGTTTTCTAAGTTTCAGGCTTCCAGGAATTCCAATCGGAAATCTCTACTGGAGCACATGGACAGATCTGCAACCCAGATAACACAGCACTGAGGAGCCATTCAAATCGGTTCCAGCCGTGGATGTAAACTTCGTATTCAATGTATTTCAATAAACTTGCCGCCCTGTCAGGCTGACGTGAACGTACCCAAATACAGAGTTGTGTGATTATTTGTAAATATTTTATGTTCGGTTGAGTTTACGAATTAGAACATAACCCAGATGAGTCGATGTCCTTGTCTCTGTACACATTAATGCGATACATGAAGAAGCATGTGAATGAGCACGGAAAGCCTGTTTGTCTATTGCTTTGTTTCTTTGAATTTTCGTGCAACTAACTCGTTATTTCAGATGGTCTTGTTAAGATTAACAAAAGTTCTGTGTTAATTACTTCGTTCAAGATGTTAATGATACATGTATTCAATACAATATGATAACTGTAGTTGTATGTATCAACTCATCGAGGCATATACATTGCATAACTTTCCATCTTGTGTAATTTAGTAATAGTAATAGTCCACTTATATGGCGCTCACATCCAGGCACATTGCCTGCTCGCGGGACGCTACGTACATTACTATCCCCGGTCATAGGACACTATCGTACTTTCCGATACTTTTTCAACTCCCTGGGGATCATACAGCCATGCTGTCTGTCAGGCGCAATGAACTAAACACTCACATTGCCAGCACATCCTCACGGGTACCCATTTTACAGCTGGGTGAACTGAGACAATGTGGATCTAAGTATCTTGTCCAAGGATACTACGAAAATGTGCCCACCTCGGGATCCGAACCTAGGTGCCTCCACCGGGGATCGAACCCGGGCCTTCAGCGTGATAGGCAGACACCTTACCACTGCACTACTGCAGTATACCATAGTATTATTTAACTCCGTGAAGCTCCTGACCCCTTGCAGGTCAGTAAAGGCGATAAACGGGATCGAGTGGCCACGCTGACTGACTCAGTAGATGCATGTTATCGTATCCCAAATGATTCAACTCGGAGACCAAAATGTCAGTCATGAATGTGAGGCCAAGCCTAGCCTATTTCCAGACGATGGAGCTAACTAACGAGGTCAGCTGCTCACACTCTACAATAACAATGTCCATATTTACGAGACGAGGCATGTAAGTGCCGTGTCCATCTCATATTACATGGCTGTTTCATGGTTATTAAATGTTTGTGTGAATTGTGGTAGTTGTAATATAGAACTTGTTTTGATGTTGTTATGTGAGTTAATCGTGGTTGTTTGCTGATGTGTTTATCGTACAAAGAAGATGATCTGAGGCAAGATATAAATTTATTTATTTGAAACAGAAGAATATATGAATATTCGTTAAAATGGGACAAGGATCGAAACAATTGGCAGTCCTAGGGAATTCAAGTTAAATCTTTTAAACACGTAATTCTTATACAGATTCATGTATATCAATGTATCAAACACTAATTCTACAAAGAGATCGCCTCACCTGGACACAGATCACTTATTACTAAAATCTGAAGCTTTATATACTACCCATCAAAAGTTTAGACTCACTAGTGTAAATGTAGCCTCTTACTTCAGTCAACTGTCCTAAACTAGATTTGCAAAATATTCCATACTGTTTAAAGGTACTGTTTACACATGAACTGATGTATCGTAAAACAAATTCATAATGTTGAAAAGATTATTGTCATGAGTTCAATAAATGATAAAAATCCGTGAAATTGGAGAATTCTTAAAACTTTACACCAAAACGCAGCTGTTCACATGACGATATTTGCACATGTTTTACAGCAATTTGATGCATGATCCTCATGCAATTCATCTGCATAAGGTTTGCAGTTGGTTCCCCCAATTTAGCGGAGAAATTCATCTTCGATGTAACCACGTATAGTGAGTGCTTTAAGTGAGTCTAAACTTCTGATGGGTAGTATATAAACCCCAACCCGCTGGCCATAGTGGAACACCTGAAGCGCAGGTGTTGTACTATTTCAATCTTAAGCTGTCTAACAATTTACAAACTCGGTTATGTAGCAATGTCCTTGTTCTTGGCGACCATGGTGGGCTTTTGTTTCATTTTGGGCATATCTGACTGCCATTTTGGCATGTTCACAATTCGGAGTCCGGTCGCTCTCGTAGCCATTTTGCAATTCTTTCATTGGACTCCACTTTCTCCTTATTTGCTTTTACCAAGGGAAAATCATCCAAATTGATTCCTTCCAGTTTGGAAAGGGTGTCAAAGGCGGCGAGATCTGCAAATCCAAGCTGTAAATAGATACAGACAAATGTTGGTTAGCATGTGTACAGTACAAATACCAATACACAATGGAATTATGAAATTATTGATAGCCATACCTTCCTTGTTTGATCTCGATCTTAATGTTGTGGAACGTCATGTTAGGATCAGATCTAGATAAGATCATGGACATAGCACTAACCGACCATTGTCATATCATGGGCATACTTCAACAACATCAATTTAGGCCTTGGTCATATCGTGAACACAACACTGACCGACCTTGTGATTATGCATGTTCCTGTAATACTGTAATACTGTAATAATATACATCCACTTTACCTTGTCCCCCACATAAAATCCTGTAGAGTTGTTCTTTAAAATCTTCTCAAAAAAGCCAACGACTTTTGGAAAAGTTGTCTCTTTGTTTTCCTTTGTTATGGCAGCCTGTGAATAATGAAAAAAAGGTTCCAGATTGTTACGACATTGTTTGTGTATCAAATATTCACTGATACGTATATCTATGCACTACACATAAATTGTTGTGTTGTTTTGAGAATATTGTTACGGGGAGAGCACAATTACTAAATAGTTTCAAAATAATAATCTTATTTAAGCAAAACACAGATCGACCACTGCTTGAAGGTGCTACAGTTCCAGTTTGCTGGGGCAGAGTTGCATCCCTTTGCTGTGCTAAGATCCTCCGATCGTGGGTCTGAATCCAAGATTTGATCCTTAGTATCCTTCCATGCAGTGTTTAGGTCAAAGTTATGCACTGGGCTTACATCAAATAAGTGTACTGCTTGATTGGCGCTTATTGGTTTGATAATGGCGATGGCACTCACTTTCCTTTCTTGATCCTGCTCGAGAAATTGTTTGATGAGGGCACTGAAGATGTCGTTGATGATGCCGATCACTTGGTCAACCTCCATCTGCTCAACGCTGGTCTTCCCATGGAATCCTTTGAATGACAACATAGTGTGCCTTAGTTTAGAACGTCTCAGCTAAATGACAGTTGTCTTTAAATACTCTAGTTTGAGCCACACGATGAAATGAGAGTCTCTGGATGTCGGGAACAATTACACAAAATAAGCTCAGTCAGAATGCTGATCCTAGGATGAAGTAATTGGGATTGTTGGGACACAGAATCAAAAGCTGAATCCACAATACAATTGGCGTAAAAATAATATCCTGGTCAAACTTAAAGTTTAATAAACGTGTTGTGCAATGCAGAGAAATGAACTATGTTCAGCAGACAATGAACTGTGTTAATTGTATATGCCAGTTATGTAAAAAAAAAAAAGTTTTGCTTCTCGTGTAAGGCAGTTCATAGCAATATTTTGCCTATCGGACATTTCTGGTGTCCCACTACCCGTGAAGGTCCGGGTTAGAATATTGATCTTCAGTAACCCATGCTTGTCGTAAGAGGCGACTAACGGGATCGGGTGGTCAGGCTCGATGACTTGGTTGACACATGTTATCGGTTCCCAATTGCACAGATCGATGCTCATGCTGTTGATCACTGGATTGTCTGGTCCAGACTCGATTATTTACAGACCGCCGCCATATAGCGGGAATATTGCTGAATGCGGCGTAAAACTAAACTCACACACGAACTCTGGCTGGTGTCCCACGTCGTGATATTGCTGTCGTGCTGTTAGAGCGGCGTAAAGCGTCACACACTGACTCCACCTATCTGATTGTGGTCTGTAAGTGATCCAGTCTTGATGACCAGATGTCGACAATCTGAACTAAGACCGCGACTGAAACCCAGATTAAATGAGGGTGGTTTTCTGAAGGTATAAGGGTCCTGAAGAGCAAGAGCATGCAGAATGGGCGTTGTAGACAAAGGGCATACAGATTTGTCACTGAAGACCAAAGACATGCAGAATGGGTTCTCAAGACCAAGGGCATTCAGAAGGGGCGCTAAAGACCAATTGAAAGGTCGCCATACATTTTATATATGTATTCAAACAATTTTGATGTGACAAACCTACGCTTTAATCACAGGACCACCAACACGTGGACCACCACACGTAAAGCCTATAAACGTCTTAAAATGAAGAAGAAATTATTATGAATAATTTTACGTCTCTGTGAACCTTTATGGGCTATACTGTCTCTCTGAACAACAGATGTTTGTATTTACAAACATAATTTTTATTCGAATCCCACCATTCATAAGTTTAATATGCTCATGTCAACTGGCAATCCATATATTGTAAAAAGCCTAGCTATTTATATACACAATGCAATGAAACTTAGAGATTCACTTCTGTGCCAATAATATCGTATTTCCTTTTGTACATTTTGTAAATTAACTTATTATCTTCTGAACTATATATGCACATATGTACCGATCTGAAATCCTAAAGTGTAGCCTGGGCCTATGGCCTCCACTACAAAGAAAATAAAGATTGATTGAACAGATGTTTCAAGCTGATTGTTTATACAGTTCCTTCATTTCTTCAAAGTGAAAACGTATTACAGACTTACTCTTCCCGACTTTCTGAATTACTGATTACTGATGTGATTCAATATTGTAAATACCATTTATTCATTCTCTCAGGCAATTACTCGTGAAGATCCGGATTAAAATTGGTCTTCAGGAACCCATGCTTATCATAGGAGGCGATTCAGAAACCGAAACATGAGTCTCATTAACCTATTCAGACAATAACCTACTTTTCAGCCGATCCGAATTTTCTCGTGTGAAAGTGAAAATAGACATCACAAACAATTATGTTTACACTGAATTCCATTTCCTTGTTTCATAAGAAAATCGTAATTACGTCAAATGAATTTTAATTTTAAACTTTAATAACATCGTATTTCTATATTTTATGGGGACGTGTAGGCAGCATGACCTTAACTAAGACGTAACTTTTAACAGACTGCCCCAGTTTGATGAGGTCGTAAAATGATTCACAACGCATCTGGTTGACTGGTAACACCTGTTATGTGCCTTTTGCGTTTTTTCAGTGTAGTTCTGTAACGCATCATGTGACTGATATAATATCAAGTCCGTGCCAGGTTGCCAAACTTTTCGAGCGGCAGAGCCTTGTTTTGAGATTTCCACGATTTCCAGGTTTCTGTTATGCCCTAATTTGATAAAAAAACAGGTCAGTCTGATCTTTCTTCATTTTCTAAATTGTTTCCGAAGCAAAGCAACTCGATCTTGAGAATAAATGTATTTAATCACCACTACCGGGTGATCTAAATCTTAAGATTTTATGAAATAGGTTATACAGTTCACGAAAAACATTATTTATATGTATTTTTTTCGTCCGTTTGCTCTCTTGTTGGATGAAGTTGGAGATGTGAAATGTTAAACGATACAGGTGGCATAAGGTAAATGGGTCCTCAGCTTACCGAACTCCCTCGCTAGGAAACCCGCAATGGCCATACTCTGTGCATACTGTTTGCCGTCCACCTCAAGCACCGGGATCTGTCCGAATAGAAGATCTGAAGAGAAAAGACCCTCGATTAACCATTTAACTCTCATTACATTAGGTATTCAAATGATAGCTTAATGAAAGTATGCTAGCATACCTACTTGTCTTGAGACATTAACAAGCGAATTACCTCGAATGACGAATGGCAAATATCGATTCATCGACTCTTTCTTTGAACTTACAAACATGAAAGTTATGATGTAAAAATAATAATGTAATACCAAATCAGTCAGTCTTTTCAAAGATTAAATCTGCGATATTATGAATTTGTATGTATACAGTGAACCTCATTAATTCGGACGGTACCGCTCCCAGTGACTTCGTCCGGATTGAAATATTTTGGATGACCGAACCATTGCTGAATAAAAAATTATTTGTACATATATATATATATATATATATATATATATATATATATATATATATTGCATATATTGATGTTCAAAACGTTATTGTCCGTTATGCAGAGAGTCCGGACTAAAGAGGTTTCCAAGTATTGTGTCACACGGGGTTGGGTTTAGCAGGTCAAGTTTTTTTCGCTGATATATTCGTCCTGTGCTTGTTGTCAGTGACCCAGCTAGATGTACGTGCAACTAGTCACAACATGCAAAAGTAGTGGTATCATATACAATGTAAGCACTCGCTTTGAGCGGGGGTACCGCCGGCCACAAAGTAAGAATGTCAGAAGAGTAATAATAATATGGCTTTTATATTGCTAAACTCCACACCAAAGTTCGTTGTTAAACCAGATAACCCAAGCTGCCTGTGAGGCACTAGAAGGTTATAGTCACATGAATTATCCGACCGGGACCCATTTTTCTGCTGGCAGTTTGTGAACAAACTCAGTAAACTCACATTAGCCAATGATTTGAATCTTGACTGGCACTGTGGAAACTTTGAAGTTTTATGACTTACACTGAATGCTTCACTAAATGACATATGGGTGATTAACACAAGGAGACGCTTAAAACATATAAAAAGATTGTTTGCTAGTTGGCGAAAAAGGAATTTCACTTCAATTGGAAAAATCCCCGTCATTAAAACTATTTCAAATGTAGTACACATCTTTTCCGCACTTCCTAACCCACCCAAATCCATTATTAATGATTTGAACAGCATAATCTTCAAATGTCTGTGGCGTGATAAAAACGACAAAATTAAAAGAACAACCATAACTAGAAATTATCATGAAGGTGGCCTCAGAATGACAGACCTAGATTCTTTTATCAATGCATTGAAACTATCGTCATTAAAACGCTTTATAAAGAAGAATACAAGCTTTAATAACATCTTTCAATTAAGACAGTTGCTAACTCTGGGCTCAAATGATGTTGGTTGTTTACCTAATTCAGACAACCCTTTTTGGAGAGATGTACTTTTAGCCTGGGGGGTATTTTATAGAAAACACAACCTAGACTATGAAGATGTAGACCAAATCATGGTACAACCACTGTGGTTAAATCATCATTTAAAATCCTCATATATGATAAAGACTTGGTTTGATCATGGTTTACACAGTATCAGATATATTTGTGGTGAAAGTGGCTTTCTCAGCTCTGAATAAATCCAACAGATGTACATAATAAAATTAACTTTCCTGGATTATCAACGCTTTTTTACACAATATCCCAGATACTTGGAAGCATCTTATTAGAGTGAGTGAGTGAGTTTAGTTTCACGCCGCACTCAGCAATATTCCAGCTATATGGCGGCGGTCTGTAAATAATCGAGTCTGGACTAGACAATCCAGTGATCAACAGCATGAGCATCAATCTGCGCAATTGGGAACCGATGACATTTGTCAACCAATTCAGCGAGCCTGACCACCCGATCCCGTTAGTCGCCTCTTACGACAAGCATAGTCGCCTTTTGTTGCATGCATGGGTTGCTGTAGACCTATTCTACCAAGGATCATCACTGGTGGCATCTTATTAGAAATAAAACACATCATTTATGTCAGCTGAATATCAACAGTTTTAATCTCGATATGATCTCAAATGATGCAAGCTCAAGGATATTTTATGATATATTGATTAAGAATTTTAAGGATTATATTCCCAAAGTATTAGAACATTTGAACTCTGATTTTGATATCAACTGGAAATATGCCTTTGTTTGGTATATGAAATGTGCAAATGATTGCAAGCTATTAGACTTTCAGTATAGATTCATTAACAAAGTAATATACATAAAAAAGGAGATGAAAATGAAGTTAGTTAATGATGATCTATGCTCTTTTTTTAAAATTGAATCAGAAAAATATTTTACATGTATTATATGAGTGTCAGACTGTTTTCAGCTTCTGGCAGAAAATAGAGAATTTCATTAATTCCACAATAATCTGAAATAACAACATACTCTGTAATGTTTTGCTTTAGGCTCAAACACTCACATAGTTAATCATATCTTACTCATAGCCATTAAGTCTTAAACAGCTTATCCTATCATTTTACATATTTATCTCAACAATGAAGGGCATTTGTAAAATTGAAGAATTCATAACAAGAACAATAACAGAAAAAAATGGAAACAACGGCCTGAATACCCCTTGAAGTGGTCATAAAATGATCAGTCACTGTGTTCATTTGTACCACAACCATCGATGTAACATCACTTTGCGCGTTCTACCATCAATGTAACATCACTTTGTGCGTTCTACCATCAACGTAACATCACTTTGTGCGTTTTACCGTCAATATAACATCACTTTGCGCGTTCTACCATCAATGTAACATCACTTTGTGCGTTATATCATCAATATAACATCACTTTGTGCGTTCTACCATCAACATAACATCACTTTGTGCGTTCTACCATCAATACAACATCACTTTGTACGTTCTGTCATCAATATAACATCACTTTGTGCGTTCTACCATCAATGTAACATCACTTTGTGCGTTCTACCGTCAACATAACATCACAGGAAAAAGACATATTTTACCATTTTCGAAAGTTGTTCAAATATTCTCTTAAAAAAACAATCATTAGTTGACGCACTAAAACTGTGTAGTCTCGGATTATATTAGAGAAACAACATATAAATAGTAATCATAATAACGTGATAGGTGTTGTGTGTTTAAGTCATAATGCCACTTTGAACATCACGCCGTGCTGTAACAGCTCAATTCAAGAGATCCAACAATGGCGAGGGTCAAGTTGACCTCACTCAGCTTTACTAATGTTGTGTCTGTATTCGGACTTCTTGACACATTGCCACACAGAAACAGTACAACCAGAAATTATTGAGAATTTAAACATTGTAATTTTTATATATTTTTTCACTCATTACTCACGTATTAAATGTGAATATTAGCAGAACATAACTCCAGATTCAAAGACAGGTGAACAGTTAGTATTTTGTCAAGTCACTATGGGCAGCAATGCAGGCTTCAATGCGGCGGGGCATACTACTGATCAAAGACGTTAGAAAGTCGTGGTCCATGCTGTCCCAATATCGGACCACCTCTTCTTTCATTTCAGTAATATTTGTCAGATTTTTCTTATTGACACTTTCCTTCATAAGTCCCCAAACATTTTCTATTGGATTTAGGTCAGGGCTATAGCTTGGCCGATCTAATAATGTCATATTTTGGGTCCGAAACCAGGCCAGTGAATGTTTTGAACGATGTTTTAGGTCGTTGTCCTGCTGGAAAATCCAAAGATTTCCATAGAACACGTGAGCAGATGGAAGTAAATGTCCCTCGAGAATATCTGTGTACCGCTCACTGTTCATATTCCCTTCAAATACACAGAGGGGCGTTACCCCTAACACAGATATGCCACCCAACACGTTAAATTTCGGACTGTACTTTGGGCGCTGATACAAAGGTTTTTCAGTTTGTTTGGTCCAGAATTTCAGTGTCTTAGGAAACAGCAACACATAACTTTCATCTGAGAAAATCACATTGTCCCAGTTAAAATTTTTATGCTGTAAGCACCAGTTCAACCTTCGCTCCTTTTGTTCAGGTTTCATGATCGGTGATGGAATTCCTCGACTTTTCTGCCAACCATTGCATGCAGCTCAGTTCTTATTGTCTCCTTACAGACAGCCACAGTTCCTCTATCAATCATATCCAGCATTATTTTTTCTAAAGCCGCCTCCTGTCACCGACAGTCAATGTTCTGCGCCTACCTGTGCCTCCCTGGTGCTCAATGCCATATCCATTTGCAATATTTTTCAAAACACGATAAACAGTGGACAAAGGGATGCCTGTTCTACTTGAAATCACTTTAGCTGATCTGATGTCCTTGTTATAAAACTCTAAAATCAACTTCCTCTTCTCTAAATCATCCATACTGAGGATCACTGAAATGTCGTCTGCTAGCAAGTAAACAAAGGGGGATAACTCTTCACAAACTAATGAAAAAGGATTAACGGAGTTGTCTCTCTTGAATGAAACCAAGCACTTGATAGCTGGTCAAGGTTGTCTATACTAGAAATCCAATTAAACATATTCCTAAAATTCTCAATAATTTCTGGTCATACTATAGTACTCGGTCTTATGAATATCTATTTTTAACTGTTCCCTCTCCTACACCCCTCGCTCAACCTGCCCAATCTCCACCTTCACGCACGCACACACAGACACGCACGCACGCACACACTACTACCACCACAACACACGGCGTTCACACAGTTTACTTCCTGACGTGCCTTATGTTCATATACAAAACTCACTGTGTTTTTCGGCCTGTAAGGTCTCCCTTGTCCATCTGACATCTTCATACTCCTGTCCAGCCAAGGCAAACAACAGACGGCACAGTTCACCCCGCCCTTTATTGTTCGTGTAGATCAGCTTGTAAGAAGGCATGTTGCTTGCTCGCTGTGCAGTGTGCTCTTCTCCTCTGTGTAACTCGGGGTGTGCAGTAAGGCTTATCAGACTCGAGCGTAGGACCCAGACGACTCAGTGTCCGTGACACAGTTTGCAATAATGCGATACATGAGTCATTTGTATGGTGACTGATTAGGGCCAACGCTTTCTCGCCTTAAAATTCGGAGCCCTAATCAGCCACCATACATTTGCCACAATACAATACTGCCGCACGAAATCCAGCAAAGGTTGGGTGAAATATTTACCAAATGTGTCTTTACATGCGAGCCATTTGGGTGACGTCACACGTAGCACACCTTTGATCAGCGTATCGTATCAAGGCAGTGTTCACATTGAGAATGCAATTGATGTCTTCTATGTGCCCAGCAGTTTTGTGCGGGATAAACTTACGCTATCAAATGACATTGAAAGCAACCAAGGCCCTCTTACCATGAAGGATTTAAATGATGTAAAGTCAGCAATACTGGATGAATTAAAAGACTTCAGAAGTTCCATGAAACTGAAGTAGATTCAATTAAAATTCAGCTAAAGATTTCAGCACAAAATTTGATCAGTTGGACAGTGCTGTGAAAATTATTGGTGATGATGTGAACAGAATTGAGCACCAGCAGGAAATCACATATAAATCACATATAAATCTGAAGGTTGCTTCTCACTATATATTAGACATGGCTTCTTTTCCCGGAATTACCGCATCTGAGGTTTGCTCCCAGGTTTTACCTTTCGTAAGTAAGACCTCTTCCCAGGTTTTACTTTTTCCTTACTCTATATTAACATCAACATTCAAATTCAGATGATATGTTAGTGTTTGAAATCAATTGAAAAATATCGTCAAAGATCAACTTAAATGTGCAAATGATTTCCCTAGCAGGATTGGAACCGTATAATTCATATGCGGGCGCTCTACCTCACAGCCACCGGGCCGACAAAGAGGGTTGAATAATCTATTTATAGTTAGGCCTACTGTCATTCAAATGATTGTACTAGCACTTCAGTTACTGTTATGTAGCTTCATTACATGATCATCTAATTATCCATCATTGACGGTATATATGTATGATAAAGCACTCCTCCTCGGTTAGCGCTCTCGGTCTTACTTCTCCCCACCCTCCGGTCTCGGGTCTTACTTTCCCAACCATAACCTCGGAACCGTGCTTTATCCTACACACCCAGACTGGAATCAGTGGAATGCAAGTTAGAAAAGCAGGCCGAGGACCTAGACAAGCTTGAGGCACACAGCCGTAGAGATAATGTGGTGTTTTATAATATAAAGGAAAGTGAGCATGAATGCTATGATTCTTGTAAAGATCTTGTTATAGATACCTTAAACAAGCACACTCAAGACCGCACCTGACGTCGATCAGACATTATAAGGGCGCATCGCATAGGAAGACACGATAGCACTCGTCGGCCACGGCCACTGATCGCGAGGATCACGTTGACAGAGGACAAAGTGCCAGTGCTAGATTCCAGAGTTCACAGATTGGACTATCAAATGACCTGACTAAACGTCAACGTAATATTCTGACTGAGCAAAGAGATAAGTGGCTTATTGCATACTTTAAGAACGGGCGTCTCATCATTAATCCCCGAGTACCACACTCTGAAGTAGCCAGTGCGGAATCAGATAGTGCTGTTCAGCTGAACAGGACTGTTACTGTGGACAAATCAAATGCAGAGGGAAATCAACCAAACATCGGGACCAAGACCTTTGCGCATATATATAAGTTTACGGGCTCTTCGACACCAAACGCAAACGTACGATCACGTAATAGGAATGCGGCCGGGTTTCATCGCGAATTTCGAGCTGTGAGAATGTGAATGTTCCACTTGACTCTGGTTTAGCCAGTCAACTTTCTTCTCGTCAATCCGCGACGTTCTCGATTCTTACTCGGAATACTGACGGCCTGTTAAATAAGCTTGTTGACGGTGACTTTATGTATTTTCTGCTCCAGTTTGATTTCATATGCCTGCAAGAGACATTTGCTGATAAGTATATTGACATTCCTGAACTCTGTGACTTTGAAGTGTATTTTTGTGCAGCCATAAAACTAGCTAAATATGGCAGACTTTCGGGAGGTATTTATATATTTATATAAAAAACATTTCTGAATTTTGTTCGAGGGTTCCTATTGATATTGATAACGCAGTTTGTATCCGATTAGATAAGCGACTTATAGACACAGATCGTGATGTTTTACTTCGTGTAGCATACGCTCCCCCAGAGGGTAAAATGGTAAATCTCCAGATCGTGATGTTTTACTTCGTGTAGCATACGCTCCCCCAGAGGGATCTTCTTACTATAAACTCACAGGAAACACTGTGGTTATTCGAGAACAGTGGTTATTAGATAATTCAAATTATCTTACGGATTGCTATATATTTCTGTGTGGAGATTTAAATGCTCTGGTTGGGACTGGAAATCAGCCTCCAGATATCCAGAGTGAAAACTTTGATGACTATTTTCCCGAGGGTGAAGCGGTCTCTGTAAATGCTAGATTTACAAATGACGCTTGTGTAAATAGATTTGGGAAATTTCTGTTAAATTTGTGTTAGGTTTTTAACTTGTATATCTTAAACTGCCGGGTGGAAGGAGATACTGGAGGAATGTTTACTTGTGTTTCCGAACAGGGTTGTAGTCTAATTGATTACGTTATATCATCACCTGGACTATTTAAGTATTTCTCGAACTTCGATGTAGGAGATAGAATAGAGAGTAAACACATGCCTTTGATCCTTAGATTCACTGGTCCAGGTGAAACACTGGTAACTAAAGACATGAGTGCAAGTACATTCAAGTATAGATGGAATAATGATCACGCTAGCACTTTCATTGAAAATGTATCAGATATAGGTTTCCATTTCGACAATTTCATAAATGTCTTAGAGTAGGATGTAGATTTAGCCATTGACTCATTTTTAAGAATTTTACTTGATGCTGCAGACTGTATGCAAAAGAGAGTGTCCGTTATTCCGAAAGTATTCACCTTTTATGGACCAGAGTGTCATAAGGCAAAAAGAAGAAACTAAACGTAGTTTACGTATATTTAGACGAAACAGAACTTCAGTGTGTAAAACTCAATATTGTAGACTTAGAAATATATGTAAAGGTTTATGTAGACAGTGGAAACGTAAATACCAATACCACAAAACAAATAAACTATATCTTGCAAGGAACAATTCCACTGTATTCTGTAGGGAGCTGAGAAAGATTTCGAAGCTAAAATCCCATACGAATGATATAACTAAAGAAAGATGGTACGATCATTTTCATGAACTTTTCAAAAGGAGAGATATAACTGAACCAGAGATGTACTGCTCAATTTAGACCAATCTGTAGAAATGAGTGAAGTTGATAAGGAGATACTTGAATCCATTATAACTGAGGAAGAAATTCACAAGGCTATACGGCATATGCAAAATGGTAAATCTCCAGGAATTGATAACGTCCTTATAGAAATGATTAAAACAAGCGAACCTAAAATAATGTCTTTTTTAGTGGCAATGTTCAATAAACTATTTTCAAACGGTTGTTTTCCACAAGTGTGGAGTAAAGCAATTATAGTTCCTCTGCACAAAAAAGGTGATGTTAATATTCCCGATAATTACCGGGGGATATCTTTACTCAGCTTGGGAAAATATATACTAGTGTTTTACATGAAAGACGAACAAAATGGGCAAATGTTCTTGTTTTTAGGAGAGGTGGGAAAATAGCGGTTAAGGAAAATTGGCTTTATAATGGGAGAAACATTGAAACGGTAAACAGCTACAAATATCTAGGTTTTGTGTTCACGTGTAATTGTAGTTTCAGGCAAGCTGTCTCAGAACTTGCAGCTCGTAGTAAGAAGGCTTTAATGAAATTAAGTATAAATTTAAGGAAATTAGGACCAATACCTTTGGAAGTATTTTTTTAAATATTTGACAGCCAAATTCAGCCAATATACTTGTATGGGTCAGAGGTGAGGTGAGGTGAAATTGGGTTTAACGTCGTGCTGGAGAATATTTCGCTCATATGACGACGTGCATGCTTGTGTATGTGTATGTGCGGCTGCTTGTACTAGCCCAGACTTAAGCTGGTTTAATAGTGCTAGCCCACTGAGATACCATGCCGCAGTGAAGCATGAATACCCCACTCAGACACATTATACTGACTCCGAGCCGACCAGTCCTTGTTGTACCCATTAATGCCGAACTCTAAGCAGGGACCAACAAGTACCATATCAGAAGTTTGGGGGGGTTAAAAGATACGATAGCATTGAAAAATTTCACTTACAAGTATGCAAAATATTTTTAAATGTCGGTCCACAGACACCAAATGCAATAGTATATGGAGAGTGTGGACGGTTTCCAGTTTATATTAATTCCTACGTTCGAACGATGACATATTGGCTTAAGTTAATGACAATGCATGATGGACGAATTCCGAAAAAGGCATATAATATGTTATACTACCTAGATACTGCTGGGTACCACACATGGGCGTCTGAGATCCGCCATATACTTTGCTCACACGGCTTTGGATTTGTCTGGTTTTCACAAGCTGTCGGTGATCCGTGCGCTTTTATTCACATTTTAAAGAATGCTTGATCAATATGTTTTACCAAAATTGGACATCTACTCTTGAAAACATTTCACGTTATACGTTATATGCAAAATATAAGAGTCTTCTTGAGCCTGAGGGGTATCTGTCTGCAAATTTGGAATATAAATTCAGTAAAGTATTGGTCAAATTCAGAGCTGGTGTCTTACGTTTAAAGAATAACGTTGGTAGGTGGCAGAATATTGATGTATCTCAAAGAAATTGTCCTGCATGTAAAGTAGATTTAGAAGATGAATATCACTTTTTGTTGAAATGTCCAGCTTATAAAGATCTTCTGGATAGATGTTTGCCTAAGAATTTGCAAGTAAATATAATATCGTTTAGAAATATCCTTAAACAAAACAAAACTGAAGACATAAATAATCTAGCCCGTTTTATCTATTATGCATACAAAATAAGAGAAAAGTTAGAAAAATAGAAATAGGTATTAAAATTATTAAACAAAATCCATTACAGCTATACATGTACATA